TATACATATACATATACATATACATATACATATACATATACATATACGTGCTTGAGATGCTCTCCAGCCTAGGCTCCACCTCTGCACCTCCTAAGGGTGGGACTCCAGCCTCCCACTCTGAGTCTCCCCCAGGTCTTGACTTTACTCTTTCACTGGCTCTGTCCCCGACTCTTCCAGCATGAGACTGATGTTTTCTGGCCTTGGACCCCACTCCACCCTAGACTGACACCTCTCTCTGCCCCCTTTCTCCCTCTACCTCCACCGGGTCAGACTGGCTCTTTGCATTGCAGGCTAACTGTGTCCCTTTTCCTCACTAGGCCTCTTGCCTACCTCACCCCTCCAGCAAAGATTGCAGGCTCCATGGGCCTTAGTGCCATTCTTTTCCAAGTTATACGCCCATGACCTCATCCTTTCAAGGCCTGAAAGCCAATTGGGCCAAAAGTCCCCAATGTCCATCTGAGCCTGCCATCCCAGGTCCTGAGAAGCCCTGACATGCCATCCCAGGCATGCCTCTAAAGTCTCAGGTCTGAGCCCCTGATTCTGCTCCCCTCACAGGACCTAGGAGTCACATGCTTCTGCCTCTGCACCTCCCTGCGTTCTACCATCTTTCAGGAAGTCACTGCCACAGTCTGATCTCACCCCCTGCTCTCTGCCACTTCTAGAACCTTTCTTCCCTTCTCTCCCCTCTCCCTATGATGTGTCCCTCTTTTTCCTGTCCCCCAGGGTTTATGATGAGTTGACTCTCCAGCCTCCTCTCCCTCTATCAAAAAGGTGGTTTACAGGGGGAGTGTATACGGTGACTAAGCTTCAAGCATAGGGTCAGTCTCTCTATTTGGGTGGGAGGTTTCGGTGAGAGAGAGACAGCAGGTGTGGAGGGAGAATTCAGAGTAGTCAGGTAGGATGTTACTCTCCTGCAGCCTAGCCTGGAAAGCCTCTGCTGGGGGAACTAGTCCTTGGAGCCTTGCCAGTTCACACAAGACCAGGCTCCAGCCTAGCACTGACCTTAGCAGGACGGTCCCTTCTCTTCCCTAGAGGATGTCCCTGTTTGCCACCTGTCTTCCTCTAGCTCATGCACACTGCCCCAGTGATCGAAGGCCCAGGAGGACAGGGCTGGGAGACAAAGGGTTGGCCCTTGTAAGAGGTGGTGTTCCCAGCTCCCTTTCATGTCCTGTAACCCACTCTAGGCATGCACTCCACCCTTTAGCCACTGCCATAGCCTGGGGCTACTTGTAAAGTTATGGACGAGCAATCGGAAAATGCTGAGCTCTAGGCTACACTCCCCAGGCTCACTCCTTGCCCTTTCTACCTTTGCTCTGTCCCACCCACCCTGTTTGGCCAGGCTCAGCAGCCTCCCCACCTGGCCCTGTCTTCCTGGGACTTTGAGACCTTGGGAGCCCAAGGATTCTCCCATAGTGTTCCATAAGCTATCTGCCTTACCAGAGGCCATGGTGACAGACAAACCTTCCTCTGAATGCCAGCACTCAGCTGGCCCTTGGTGTTGAGAGCTTCCCAAGGAAATAATCATACTACGTCAAACGTGTTCTGAGTGTGCGCAGGGCCATTACACGTGCTGAAGCTGTGTGGGCAGCGGAACCCTCTGGGTGGAGACATGGAGGGGAGGCATGGCCTGTCAGTGGTAGCAACAAAGCGGGGGGGGGGGGGTATGACATTCTCATACAGAGTATGACCCATGATCCCAGCGAGGCAGGGGGATGCTGGGAACCAAGATGGGTGCCTAGCTCCTGTAGATCTTTCTGTGCCCACAGACGTCACCTGACCATTGTGACTGAGTTTGAGTCTCAGTACTCAACAGGCTGGACAGGACCTGTTTGGGTGTAAATCCCCAAGATAAGACTTCTTGTAGGAATACTGGCCTGCTATCTCATACAGTCCCCACTGGCCATCTTTAGATTCTGGGGATTTTGCTTATGTAGGAGTGGGGAGCTGTGGAGCCTGGGAGCTAGGGTCTCCAGGCTTAGCACTCATGCCTGATAGAAACCTGACCATTTGGGCCCTGCCCACCCTTAGCCTCAGGAAACTTGTACCACCACCTTGCACCAAAGCCTACTGCCTCGGTCCCAGCTGACATCCCTGGTAGGTGACGCTTTGTTTGTGTTGCCCCTACCTTACCTCAGTGCTCAGCATCCACAAGCTTCCGGCCAGTGGGGCCACCGACATCAGCTTCCCTATGAAGGGCTGGCGTGCCACAGGAGACTGGGCCAAGGTGCCAGAGGACAGGGTCACCGTGTCCAAGAGTGTGTTTTCCACAGGACTGGCAGGTGAGGTTTGGGCATGGGATGAGCCTGCTATGAATCAGGGTCCTAGAGCCTGAGATTCATCAGCCTGAGATATTTTCTTGTAGGGTTCAGTGCATTGTCTCCAGTGCCAGGGAGTATCCCTGGTACTCCTTGTTATTCCTGAGGCCATCTCCTTGCCAGAAGCTCTCCTTTTCCTCCATGGGAGAACACCCAGGGAAACATACTAAACCAGAAGCCCAAGCAGAGTGGAAAGGGTTGGGTGGATCACTCAACAGCAAGGACCCAGTTTCCCAGGGGGAGAAATGTATCCTGCATGTCCATATCTCTTGTGAGGTCACTTGAGGAGATGAGCTAGTTCCTTCTCCCCATCTAGGTCCAGGCTGTTGCCCCAGATCCCAGCTGCACCTCCGTATCTGTGGTGGGACATGCCTTATCTTGTCAGGACCATGGATGTGACCATGTAGATGAGACAGGAGGCCACTGGGGTGAGATGCAGGCTAGTGGGCAGTAGCAGGGTTGGAGTAATATGTGCTCCCTTCCAGAAGCTGACGATTCATCTGTGTTCGTGGTTGGTACTGTGCTCTACCGAAACTTAGGCAGCTTCCTGGCCCTGCAGAGGTGGGTGACTTGGGCTCCTACAGGTATCCAGTAAGAGATTGGTGGACTGGGCATGGTGGTATGGTGGGGGGAGTATGCCCTGAGCCTGGGGCTGGGCTACAAGGCTGGCTCAGTGCCACCCCAAACCTCTGACAGCCTTTGCTGCTTTCATGTCCCCAGGAACACAACTGTTCTCAACTCTAAGGTCATCTCCGTGACTGTGAAGCCCCCACCTCGATCACTGCTCACACCCTTGGAGATCGAGTTTGCCCACATGTACAATGTGAGTGCTGCCCACATGTGTGGGTACCCGGACACCTTTGTCAGTTCTGAGTGCATCCCCATATACTCCTCTCAGGCAGTAGCTTTTGGAGTCACAAGCAGAGTGGCTCTCATCTGAATTCCAAGTGAGGAAACAGTCTTTGAGCATCCAGGACCACATAGCAGGTGGACGTGGATACGGAAGGAACTTTAGCCCAATTCTGACCTGCCCCCTAGTCCTAACCCCGTGCCTCCACTCCAGACTCTGATCCCTGGAGGGGATCTGCTTGCTATTTCCTGTGCCCATGACCTAGCAGCCTAGAGAACTGTGTGACGGGACATCTACCCCAAACCAAGTCACCAAACCCCTGGGAGTTGCTCCCTTCCCTGTCCAGGTTGTTGGGAACATGTGAGAGTCACCTTATGTGTAGAGTCTGACCTGCAGGCTCTCTTATGCAGGGCCTCTGGGATGACAGTGCCAAGAGCATCCTTCCAAAGCTCCCTGGGACTCCAGGCTACCACTGCTGTGCGACCCTGGCAGGTCCTCAGCTCCAGGGACGCCTGGATACCTTGATGGGCATGAGGAGACCTTGGTGACTGTTAGTCCTCTTGTAAGGCTTTTCAGAGACTCGAGCTGAAGCTCCCGCATCCCACAGTCTCTGCTTCCGGTTGGGTTGAGTAAGAACCCCAAGGGGGCAAGGCAACTGCATTACTCAGCCAGGATGTGGCAGTGCCAGGTCCTAGTTCTCAGGCCAGGGATGTGGGAAGTCTCAGAAAGAACTCAAATCTGTCCTTTTTTCCTTTGTGACCTTGGGGGAGTTGTTTACCTCCTCTGCACCTTGGCTTCCTTCCTTTATCAAACAGGAAGCAGTAATTCCTATGAGTGTTCAGGGCCTATAGCTACTGTGAGCATAGACGCCACCGTGGCTGCCCCCTTCTCTCCAGTGCTGAGCCAAGTAGCTCTCACAGGGATGGCGCCCTGCATTGCTTTTCAAGTCCTGCTTCCAGGACCAAGGACAGCAACAGGGCAGCTTCCCTCTCCTCCCCCACTCCCTTAGACACACCTACCATGTCCCCATAAGAGATGGCTTTGTCCTTTAGCCCAGCCCTATCAGGGGGTCTGGACCGGAGAGGAGACAGGAACTGAAGCCATGTATTGGGCACTGGAGAAAGAGAGGGTCAAACCAGGCTTGACTTAAAAGGACTCCTCTCTGCTCTGAACTTCAGGGTTTTTTTTCCCCTTACACAATGCAGTTTTTCAGGGGAATGGCACCAGCAGCGTGTGTAGTAGCCCCATGAGTGGATTCAGTGACCCAGTTTGGGGCTAAATGTGGCAGTGGCCCTGACCTCCCTTCCTTATCTCTTAGGGGACCACCAACCAGACCTGTATCCTGTGGGATGAAACAGATGGGTAAGTTCTTTGGGGCTTAGTAGCCCTGGAGCCCTAGGATGGTGGGAGGGGCTTGCAGCATGCTTGGGTAGTGGAGGGCAGGTTTAAGGTGATGGATCCACCCTTCCCTAGACCTCTGGCCACTAGTACATCTGCCTGGTCCTCCTTTTCTTCCTGTCCAGGTCTGGCTTCAGAACCAATTGGCCTACCCTCCTTATTTTCTCCCAGGGAAGCCCATGACTCAGTGGGGGAGAGCCAGAAAGATGTGTCCTAGCTAGGTGCCGAGGTGGGACATTCAGGCTCTTCTGTCCTGGTGTTGGGTTTGGCACAGGTGTCAGGCACTAAGAATCAGGAATGTGGCTGTGTGGACTAAGACAGCTTCAGGGTTGAGGACCCTGAGACTCCAGCTGATCAGGTGTGGGAGGGGTCCAGGTGTCCCTAGCAGCATCGTATGACCCTGGGCCCTGTGCTCAGGCCTTTTCAAGTACATAGCAGTCACCAGCCTGATCCAGGGTACTCTGTTAATGAGTGGGACCTCCTTGCTGGAATAAGAGGCCCAAGCAAAATGAAGGGGAGGTGGGGAGGGACCTCCTGAGGGAGAAGGTATGTGGCAGACTGGACTAGTGTTCATGGAACTTGCTTGGGTTGAAGGTTTCGGGGAGGCCTGCAGGTGGGGCTGTGCACTTGGGCCTCGGCATATGTTTAGGAAGTAAGGAACAGAGACATTGTTCCCTTCCCCAGGATGGGGGGTCTGGGAACTCATGTGGTCCCAGGTGCTGGCAGTGTGTGTTGCAAGCCCAGGTGCTGTGGGTTGTGTAGTTGCAGGTGTGTCCTAGACATCTGGAAAGGTCTCTCAAGTGACTGGCTTGGGAAATGAAGAAGGTTCTGAGAGAGACGTAACCGCAGCATCAAGCAGGAAGGCTTGGGGGACTCAGGGGGGCTGGGGAAGCATGAGCAGGAGGCATAGAGGGGTGATGGTGGCTAACAGTTAGCTATCGTGTGGGGATAGTCATCTGCCACCCGTCGTCTGATGACTGTCCTGAAGTCCCAGTTATTATTCTCTGCACCCCAGGGAAGAGGGACAGTGCACAGTTGAAAAGTTGGTCCAAACGAGTGTCAGGTTCGATCGTACAGCAACAGGAGGTCAGAAGACTCTGAAGCAGGTTGTGTGACAACTTTTTGAGCAGGGACATAGTGGACTCTGTGTATGTATGTTGTGGGGGAGGCTGATTTCTACACAGGGTTCTGGCAAACTCTGTGCAGTGAGTGTCTGAGGGGCGACCAACCTGTTCACCCTCTTATTCCATACTGACACCTTGCAACCTTGCAGAGCCCTCCCACTTCCTAGTAATGTAAAGACCAGCCTCCTGGTGAGGACAGCCCATCAATGTTTCTGACTTCCCAGATAAGTCAAGGACACTGTCCCTCACCAGGCTATCAGGCACTCCTTGAGTTGTGGCTTCTGTCCTTGGTGCTGGCAGCTGCCTGACGTTGGGTAAGATTAGAGCAGCTAAAGGACTCTGGTGAGCCCTCAGATGCTATAAGTTAGTGTGGCCTCCGCCTGCCCTAATTTTACAGCTGTGGGTAGTGACCTCAGCCTTCCTGCTCTGCCCCAGCCCTAGAGAACTGGACCATGGAAGGTCAGGCCCCAGGAGAGCAGAATGGTACCTATTCAGTTGAGTGGCCTGCATCTAGGCAGAGACACAAGTCCATCCTGGGTTCACACTCCTCCACCCCCATTTACAGATTACAAGGACTCCAGAGGCTACAACCAGCCGGAAGCCCAGGGGTGATTGAGTAGACTGCTCAGAACAGGCATCTAAAACTCTTGAGCTGAGGCTAAAGGAGGACTGGATGGTGGACAGGCTGGCTTTTGCAACTTCTCCAAGTCCTAGTGTTTTCTTATTGGCCTAAAGAGGTCAGAGCAGTGGCCTACTTCCACCACTGTCTTTCATCTGCCTGGTGTGGTCTGTGCTTGCCCGTGCTTGACTGAGTATACATTAGGCCTAGGGGCCAAGGAATGGCCTGGCCACTAGGGGGAGAGGACAGCCTTCTGTGACTGCTACCTGATAGACCTTTTTGTACTGTACTTTGACCCATAACCAAACCATGCTAATCTAGGATAGAGTCCAAATCCCCAACTGGAAGTGGGCTGAGACCAGACACTGGTCATGCCTGAGTGCTGGCCCTAACTGGGACATTGAGCTCTAGTTCTGGTCAAATGCTCATCATGGTCACAGATTAAGCTTTAACACTAGTCACACACCAAGCTCCTGTTCAGACACTAAATACTGACTCTATTACAAACTGAGCCCTGATCTTGGTTACATACTGAGCCCTGACCTTAGTCACACATTTATTCTTAGCTCTGTACCTACTGAGCCTAGATCCTGATCGTACAGAGCCTTGATCTAGCTCACACACTAAATACTAATTCTCATCATACACTGAGTCCTAATCCTGATCTCGGTGAGATCTGACTCTGGGCCCCAACCTTGTCCATGTTTGGAGCCTTAATCCTGGTTATACACTGAGCTCTGTCCCTGGTCACACACAGAGCCCTGATCTTGGTCCTAGGGCTATCCCTGTGCCTTGTCTCTGTTGGAACCATTTTTGTCTGTTGACACTCATTCCATAGATGACAGGTACTTCAAGGATCACGTTCTCATCCAGTCACATGTGACAGTTGAAAGTGTGACACGCTCAGGTAGAGAGCAAGTCAGAGGCTCTCACCTACAGTGTAGACCCTCTTGCTGACTTTCCTCTGGGAATATCCACATACCTGCAAGGACTCTGGTAGTGTACACATTGGAGATGTCTGTCTAGGTGCTTTAAACATTTGTTCAGAGCCTCTGATGTACCCCTATCCTCACGTAATGTCTGTCCTCTATGTCACTGGATCTGGGTCTTGAACAAGGTTGGCAACAGGATTCAAGAGCTCTGTCTCTACCTGCCTAGAGATTCATGGCCAGTGACTGTGAGAGTCTGGTTAAGAAGTGATGATGATGATGATGATGATGATGATGATGATGAGGAGGAGGAGGAGGAGGAGGAGGAGGAGAGAACTTGCTGGGATATATTAACCATGCTGCATCCCCAGAGAGTCCCAGCTTTGTGTGTCTCCATTGAGGGGGACAGTGACAGTCACATGTGTATTCCCAAAGTCTCCTGCCACCTGCTAGGATGAGAACCAGTTTGTGGGAATGGGTATCAGGAAGCAGAATGAGATGGATGAGCGGGTCATTCATGGTGGTCAGTGCCGGGCAAGGAGTGAGCAAGGTAGGGTCTCAGGAGTGGGGTAGAGTTGAGTGTGGATCACAGGGGTACAGGGTGAATGACTGAATGGAGGATGAGATCGAGTCATCCAGAGGACAAGCAGGTGCCTGAAAGGAGCCAGATGTCACAGGAAGCAGGCCCTTGGAATACAGAAAGGCCTGAGCTCTGTCCTAGACATTGACAGAGCTGTCCCTCTTCACAGCGTTCCTTTTCAAACTCTTGCTCCTTTCCTGGGTGGATCTGCCAAGTCCCACTAGGTCCTCCCAGTTCTCTCACAGATCTCCTGCCCCACTGTCGTCTGTCAGTCAGGCTCACAGCCAAAGAGCCTGGCCTCAGGCTTGAAGGTTCCCCCTGAGCCCAGTACTATGTTCGGGGACCCTCTCTGGACACACTGGCAAAGGCATATCTTAGGAGTCTGCCTCGTTTGTTTGTTTGTTTGTTTGTTTGTTTGTTTGAGACAAGGTTTCCCTGGCTGTCCTAGAATTCACTCTGTAAACCAGGCTGGCCTCAAACTCAGAGATCTGCCTGCCTCTGCCCCTCCCCCAGGCTCTGGTGATAAAGGTGTGTGTCATCATTGCCCAGCCCAAGAGTCTGTCCCTTTAAAAGTCCATCTCCTTGGAGAGGACAAGTATCAATGACAGGCAGACTTGACAGGGCCACTTGTGCCTGTCACTCTTCATTGTGATTGCTCCTACTGGGACAAAGGAAGCAGAAGGGAGCAGGGCAGGGTGAATTTAAGGTGGCTTCCTACAGGGGCCTCTGGGTTGGAGAGCTGGAGGAGGTGCACAGGATCGTGAAGCACATGCAGGAACAGAACCCTCACCCCATCCAGAATTTGGGGTGAGCTGAAGCATCTGCTGCTCTGAACCTGCTTTTCTTCAGGCCCCAATCTTCTTGTCCTCCACCTCCATCTTTCCATTAGTGATGCAGTCTGTGTCTGGTGCTGCCTTGGGGTAGGCACCGGGTCTCTTGACTATAAGGCACACAGCGGCCTTGCAACAGATGTTGTCCAGGATATGAGTGTGCCCCATCTTAATGAGGTTACCTTCTCCCTGGGGAGAGTGGTAACTCACCTACTCATTCATTTACCCCATCATTTACTCCTTGAACACAGGACAAAGCCTTGTAGCCCAGCTCCCCTCCCCATACTTGCTTGTGAATACACGCAGCAGAATGTCCCCGGGTCCTGAGGGCTGCAGGTCTTTGGGATCCCATAATCCAACCTTTTTCAGCTACAGAGTATTCTGCCCACACTGGCTATGCAAGCCCAGGCTTCAGTTCCCAACTCTATGATGGGACATGAAGAGGGGGGACTTACTTTCAGGATTCTGTAGGGTCCTCAGGCTAGGGAGGTGGCACTGTCCCCACCAAGCTACCCCTGCCTGACTTGCCCGCTTCCTCACCACTCCCAGAACCCTTTATCTCTTCTCTTTTCTTTCCTCCCTTTTAGAGACAGGATCACATTCAGTAACTCAGGTGGCCTGGAACTTCATGGCAATTCTTCTGTCTCAGCTGGTATTACAAGAGTGAGCTTTTTTTTGTTTTTTGTTTTTGTTTTTGTTTTTCCTATAAGAAGCCTTAACTTGATTCTCAGCCTACAGTTGCTTCTCTTGAAGCATGGCTAAGGAGGAGCTTCGGAGTGGATGGAGGATATGAGTTGGAACAGGACTGAAGCGCTTTCCCATCATCCTTTGCCACTCCAGGGAGCCACTTGTCCTACAGGGTCCTACCTTGCCCCAGACTGC